CCCAGGAGGGTAGACTGAACCCTGAGCCCTGCTGCTCCAGGGGGATGGGGAGAGAAGAAAGGGGCAAAGCCCAAGGGCTTCAGCCCTGGGCAGGGGGCCTTTAACCTGAGCCCTGCTGCCCAGGGCTGAAGCTGAAACCTGAGCCCCACAGCTCAGGGCTGCAGCCCTTGGGCGGTGGGCCTCAGGGCTTCAGCCCTTTGACCCCAGCAAGTCTAATACCAGCCCCGGTGACCCCATTAGAATAGCATCGCAATCCACTTGGGGTCCCCACCCACAGTTTGAGAACTGCTGCGCTATGCATTTCAGCATTACTTAATTGTCTCCATCTGATTTCCTGCTCTAAGTTAGCTGTTCAACAGTAGAAAGGATAAAAAAGTCTCAGAAAACAGGAATTAGATATTCAATATAGCATGGTCAGAGGCCATATCTCAAGGTCACCTCCTGGGGGCAAAGGTAGACACCTCACTTACCTTGTACAGCATTTCCTGGGCAAGGCAGTCTTGGGGTATGGTGTATCCAGCTGTACCTCTTAACAAGTCTCCCCTCTTCAAGGCAGGAGGGGGATATAAGTTGTAATAAAACAGTCCAAACCAAAAGGAAAATAGTTCCAAGGGGCTAGGACCCCTCCCTCACACAAAGGAGGAGAAGCAATCTTTCAGGTTCTGCAGAAATTCTTGGCTCCTACTCCCTTCTATACCTAAAAACCAAGAGTTAGCCCTAGGGATCACAAACAAACTAGCCCATCTTCTTTTCTCAGAGGACTAGGGCTGGCAATGCTCTTAAGCTGTTCTGCCGTAAATAACCCACTACATTGGTCTAGGTCTGCTTGTTTCAGAAAACCACCTCAACTGAGCTAAATTACTCCCCTTTAGCAGTCCACAGCCAGGCCTGATAAGCCACACAGGTGTGGTGGATTGGGGCTGACTGACCACAGAAGTTGTTTACCACCCACACACCAGTCAAGAAGGGGTTAATCTGTTCCGCCACAAGCATTTTTAACACCAGATGACAAGTGCAGAAACCCTAAGAAAATGTGTGATTGGTGCCTTGAGGCCCTAAAAAATGTGTATCTTAATTTTCACCGTCAGATATTTCCAAATCTTATTTTCCCCCAAAGAAGTGACTCAGAAAATAATTAAACCATATTTTTCTTACTAAATGAGAATTTCTATAGAGTGACAAAAAATAAAAATACTTGTTACTTTTCACTTACATAGTGTGTTTCATGCAAGGCTCTCAAAGGGAGCACATTACCTCCCCAGCATTTCTAGAGCTCTCCCAACCTAGGAGGTAAGACACTGATTTTCCATATGTCAGAGAAGTATCATTCAGCTGGTCAGAAACATGCTGTGTTTTAAATCACTGAATCAGTGGTCTGTGTGTTGCAAACAATACTGCTTCCATAAAATGTTGCATTTTGGCTTCACAGATATGACCTTGGGAGCCCAGCCTCTCTCTTTGTTATCGCAGGCTGAACAGCTGCGTAGAATTAGAAAGCTGCCACAAAGAACTAAAGAGGACTTTCTGCGTGAGGTCATGATGCACTCCGTGGCTGCAAAAACAAGAATTGGAGTGGTGGGACAGTGAGAAGAGGGACCAAAAAGAGAACGCGGCACTCCAGAACGAAGCGGCTCTTAAAAGTTATGGAGCACCAAGTGGACACGCTCCAGGTGCTACTAGCACTACAAACCGAGCAGCTCTGCGCCCGCCCTCCCCTGCAGCCACAAAACTTTCCCATGTACCCCCCCCCAGACACCATCAACACACTCTTATCAACTCCTGGCTCCAGTCTGTACCTGCTGTATTCTACTCCTGCCCCGTTACTGTCCAGCCCTGTGGACTCCCAGTACTCACTGCACTCAACACCCGTCCGTCTGCAGTTTAGCCCTGCTGAAGTACAGTACCCACTGCACTGTCCTCCAAAGGACAAGGTTGCATATGATACCTGGACATACACAAATCTTTAACCATCCCGGGACCCCACTTCTTCCTGTGACCCTCCCTTCCCGCATCCCCCTCAGTGCTGTTGTGTTTTTTTGTTTGTCTCGCTCCTCCAGTTGTTTTTTAATAAAAGAATTGTTTTGGTTTGAAAGCAATCTTTATTCCATTAATTGAAAGTAAACAGAGCCCAACAAAGCAACAAGCAATTTTGTTATACCTTCATAGTGCATCGTCTGCACCAATCAGAATCAGCTCCTAGCATTACAAGCACTGCACTCCCAAGCATAGTAACACATATTAGTGGCTTTCAGCTTCAAATTGCTGCCTCAAGGCATCCCTGATCCTTATGGCCCCATGCTGCACCCCTCCAATAACCCTGGTCACTGGCTGTTCAAATTCAGCATCCAGGCGCTGAGCCTCAGCAGTCCAGCCCTGAGTGAAGCTTTCACCCTTCCCTTCACAAATATTATGGCGCATACAGCACATGACTATAAGCATAGGAATATTGTCATCGGCCAGGTCCAGCCTCCCATGTAGGCAGTGCCAGCAGGCCTTTAAACAGCCAAAAGCACACTCATTCATTCTGCACTTGCTTAACCTGTTGTTGAACCGCTCCTTGCTGCTGTCAAGGTGCCCCGTGTATGGCTTCATAAGCCACGGCATTAATGAGTAGGCAGGGTCTCCCAGGATCACAGTGGGCATTTCGACTTCCCCTACGGTGATCTTCTGGTCTGGGAAGAAAGTCCCTGCTTGCAGCTTCCTGAACAGGCCAGTGTTCCAAAAGATGCGTGTGTCATGCACCTTTCTGGACCAGCCTGCGTTAATGTCTGTGAAACGCCCACAGTGACCCACAAGTGCCTGGAGAACCATTGAGAAATGTACTCGGTGGCTAGGTGACCTGGTGTCAGAATTTGAATATGCGTGCCATCTATCACCTCTCTGCAGTTAGGGAAGCCCATTTGTGCAAAGCCATCCACAACATCATGCATGTTTCCCAGAGTCACGGTCTTTCGTAGCAGGATGCAATTAAGGGCCCTGCACACTTCCATCAACACAAGTCCAATGTTTGACTTTTCCACTCCGAACTGATTAGTGACTGATGGGTAGCAGTCTGGAGTAGCCAGCTTCCACAGTGCAATCACCATGCACTTCTCCAACGACAGGGCAGCTCTCATTCTTGTGTCCTTGTGCCGCAGGGCTGGGGTGAGCTCATCACACAGGCCCATGAATGTGGCTTTCCTCATCCGAAAGTTTTGCAGCCACTGCTCATCATCCCAGACATGCATGACAATGTGATCCCACCACTCACTGCTTGTTTCCTGAGCCCAAAAGTGGCATTTCACTGTGGTCAGCACCTCCGTGAATGTCACAAGCAATCCCGTGTCGTAGCTACTACACGTGGCGAGATCAATGTCGAACTCCTCTTGCCTTTGTAGTTTAAGGAATAACTCCACTGCCACTCATGACGTGTTAGTTAGAGTGAGCAGCATATTGGTCAACGGCACGGGATCCATTCCTACAGACCGAAGAGGCAGAGCATGCAGTACACAAACCATTGAAAGATGGCGCCAAATGCAAACAGAGATTGCTGGGATGCGAAGCAATGCATCACGGGGCATTGGGATAGGACCCAGGATGCCCCATGACCCCCTCCGCCTTTCCACAACTCTTCCTCTTCTGCCGCTAAGAGATGCTCTGTGGGATAGCTGCCAGAGTGCACCATTCCAAATACCGCTGCCAGTGCCGCAAGTGTGAACACGCTATTGCGCAGGCAGCTGACAGTGTGAACACACAACAGTGGTTTCCTTTCTGTGCTCTCTGAGCAGTGCTGTAACTGCCAGTGCTGTAACTCTCCCACTGTAGACATACCCTTACTGTAGCTACCAGCCCCTCTTGCTCATTAACTTACAGGTGCTCTGTTTAGCATCTCATTATCGGCACCTGATTTCAATTACAGGCAGTGATTTGAAATCTTGGTCTCTTGCTTGGATTTGATTTTTCTTTGAGAGGCTTGACTGAAAGCAGTCTGTGCTGAGTACACATATCTTGAATGAGAATTTGAATCTGAGAAGCTCTGTAGAAAATTTACTATCTTCATCTGATAAACTAATGGCTCCTTTGTAATAAGAGATGCCTACATACATACCAGTACAACTTTCAAACAGTTGAATAAAGTTCAAACTTAGGAAGTTTGGCCTGGATCCACAGAAGGACTTAGATGTTGCAATGCTGAGCATTGCAAGGACTAACTTTAGGCACCTAGCAAATCACTGGAACAACAATCAGATCCATAAAGCCGGAGTTAGTCACCTCTGCCCCCGCCCTATACAAAGCATGGGGAGAGACAGGCACCTAAGAATGGGATCCACAGAAGCTAGCTCACCAGGTGGCAAAGCCTAAGCTAGCCACTGGAAGATGCCAACAAGAGGCATGTGTCCTATGCTCTGCCCCCTCACACAGTTAGACACCTACATCCAGGCTGCAAGGAGGTACCTATCTCTGCTTGCATTCCACAGCTGGGAACCCCTCTCCTGAATTCAGATGGCTTAGGCACCTAAACCATTTCTTGTGAGAATAAGCTACCTGCCTCACTCCATACACAATGGCCAGAAAAGGAGCTGGGGGACTGGAGCCTGGGTCTCTCCCGCCTCCCTGTTGGGTGTCCTAACAACTAGGCTATAGCCTCATTCTCACACACTCTTTCTCTGGCCCAGTGACTCTTTAATTATCTACCCAAAGCAGAATGGATTCAACAGAAGAGATTGAAGAAGCCCCATAACAGAGTATCCTATAGCTCAGTGGTCAGAGCACACCGAGAGGAATCAATCCCTATTTAATCCTCTCTCCCACCTCAGGCACAAGGGGGAATTGAATGCTGGTCTCCTACATCCCAGGTGAGCACACTAACCACTGGGCTCAAGGTGATAAGGTAGGAATCACCCAAACCTCCTCCAGCCAGATTTTTAATGAGAGATGATCTGGTAGGCATGTTCTGAGCACACCTACTCGATCAGGTCCCAAAAGGAAAATAGGAGCTCTTCTGTCTATCTTCCCCTAGTTCACGGATCACACTGGGGCTTAGGCATCTGGATGCCTAGAGGAAGGCAACTGTGCTCATGCTCAAAGAGCGGAATACAGGCACCTAGGGAAATTTTACAGCAAAAATTTAGGCGCTGGTTGCATTTAGGCATCTACAGGGTTAGGCAGCAGCCAAGCAGGAGTTTTGTGGATCACAGTAGTGCCTAAATCTGGGGTTTAGCTGCTTGTGTGCCTTTGATTTCAATGGGAGTGAGATACATAAATCCCTTGAAGAATTGGGGCCTTTAGATTAAAAAAACCAAGAAACAAAAAAACAAAAAAACAAACAAAAACAAAAAAACCACTTGCATCTGGCCAATAACAGAAAGGAACATCAAGTCTGGTTCATGTTCACTGGAGAGAAAAAAAGGTCCTGTAGGGATCTAGCACACTTAGGAAATGTTAATGAAATGGTGAAGCTGGGTTTTAATTTGACCTACTGAGTCTGACCCTTTGTTTGCACTATTGTCTGTTATCCTCTCACGATAAATTATTCTGTCAGACAGTGGAGCGGGTTTTCCCATCCCTCATCCTTCCCAAGCCTCACCATTTTTCCATGCAATGATAACATACATTACCTAATACTAACTACTGTTAAAAAGGTAGTACTGGCACATGGCATGAGAAGGAATTTCATTTTTCATTTCCTGGCTTCCTGACAATGCTTTGTCCAGAAGAAATATATTGTTTTAGAACATTTGGTCTCAGGTTATGTGTTTGAGTAGCAATTCCAGTCTATGCCAGAGCATAGTGAGAGTTCTGGACGTGATCCGCAGATTTTATGCAGCAAGAACCATTGTTTAGTCCTGCAGCAAAATACTTTAACTCTAGGGTGATGGATAAAGCTATTCAAAAGTGTACAAGTTTCACAAGAATCACAGCTTCATTTCTGCTTTAAACTGCCTTCCATTCCATCCCTTTATGAACCAACAAAGGCTGTGGATTATTGGCCAAGGGCCAAATCTTGTTCATTTTACTCGTACAAGTACCATGCATGATGAAAGTTAAAAGAATATTTGGCCCCAGGTGGATTATATATTTGTAGATTTATCTATAGTCCAGAGGAAAAGTTAATACAGGTTCTGACCCTTTAGAAAAAACTCTACACACACACACACACACACACATCTATATTTATGATAAATCAGTCTTGGTAGTCCATCGAATCCGATTATGACAAATCTGTGCAGATCATCAGTTGTTGGTCTTATGGTGTGCCCTCTGGTGACTGTACAAGCCAATTCTAGAGGTGCACATTTTGCTGCAGATGGTGCATGGGAAGTTCACGGTCAGTGGATTGTGTGCTGCTGATGCTCTGTGACGTCGTTCGCGTGCCTCTTGTAGACGCCGGCAGCGGTCTTCCTCAAAGGCGATGCAGGTATTTCTGACTGTTGCACGCCACTGTGTTCTGTCGCTGGCGGCGTCCTCAAGGTCCCTAGGTTTGATACTGCTGTAGTGCAGATTAGCTTTGATGGTGTCCTTGTAACGTTTCCGTGGACTACCTATATGCCGGATGCCCTGGGAGAGCTCACCATACAGAAGCTGGCGGGGGATTCTGTTGGCATCCATGCAGCTGACATGACTGGTCCAACGTAGCTGTGACTTCATGATCATCATTTCGATGCTTGTCATCTGGGCTCTCTCGAGGACCTCGAGATTGGGCACTTTGTCTTGCCAGCGGACCTTCATGATGTTGCGGAGGCAGCGCGTGTGAAATGCTTCGAGCTGCTTGATGTGACGCCTATATAGTGTCCATGTTTCGCACCCGTACAAAAGAGATGAAAGAACAACAGCTCTGTACGCAAGCAGTTTTGTTGACATCCGGATGTTGTGGTGATTTAAAACTTTGACACGCAGACAGCCAAGTGCCTGGCTTGCTTTGGATATTCGTGCATTGATCTCATTATCCAGTGATCCATCACTGGATATGACACTACCCAGATATTTAAAGTTCTCCACTACTTTCAGCTGAGTGCCGTCGATGGAGATACTCGGGACAGAAGCATTTGATCCGGGTGCAGGTTGATGGAGAACTTCTGTCTTTCCGAGGCTGATAGTTAGTCCAAAAAGTTGCGAGGCCTCAGCAAACTTGTTGACAATGTGCTGAAGATCATTTTCAGTGTGACCCATGAGGGCACAGTCGTCAGCAAAGAGTGCCTCAAGAAGGAGTTTCTGCACTGTCTTAGTCTTTGCATTCAGGCGACGGAGGTCAAAAAGTGAACCATCGTGCCGGTATTTCAAGTATATACCTTGGTCCAGATCTTTCAGTGCATGGTTAAGGACACATGCAAAGAACAGGTTAAATAGGACAGGAGCGAGAACACATCCTTGTTTCACGCCGTTGGTGATGTTAAAGGGGGCTGATGTGGCTCCATCAGACAATACTTCACCTGTCATGCTGTCATGAAAAAGGTGTATAATCTGGACAAATTTTCTTGGGCAGCCAAGTCGTGTTAGAATGGTCCAAAGGGCTTCCCTGTTGACGGTATCAAACGCCTTTGTGAGATCTATGAAGACAGCATACAAGTGCATGTTCTGTTCAATGCACTTCTCTTGTATTTGTCTGACAGCAAACACCATGTCGACTGTGCTCCGGCCAGGTCGAAAACCACATTGACTTTCAGGTAGTTTTGCCTCGGAAATACTGGCTATTAGGCGGTTCAAGATGATGCGGGCGATGATCTTCCCTCCAACAGAGAGGAGGGATATGCCTCTATACTTTCCACATTCTGCTTTGCTGCCTTTGTTCTTGAAAAGAGAGACAATAGTAGCATCGCGAAGGTCCTGTGGTATGTTTTCATCCTCCCAGATGTTGATGATCACGCTGTGGAACGCTGCCAGTGCTGCTGGACCTGCTGCTTTATATATCTCTGCTGGTATCCCATCTTTTCCAGGAGCTTTCCCTGAACTCATCTGGCTAACAGCTTTCTTACTCTCATCTATAGTGGGCGGAAAGTCAAGATCTGTCAGAGCAGGTTGTTGTGGAATTTCATTAAGGACATTATTATTCACGGTTGATGGTCTATTGAGAAGGTTGCTAAAGTGTTCTCGCCATCTTTCGTTGATGCCTTCTTTATCTTTAATCAGCGTTGTGTTGTCTAATGAGAGCAATGGGGTGGTCCTTGGTTTAAAGGGTCCATAGACAGTCTTAATAGCACTAAAGAACATCTTTAAGTTGTGGGTCCCAGCATAGTGCTCAATTTCTTTGGCTTTGCTCTCCCACCAGTTGTCTTGTATCTGACGGAGGTCTTTCTGTGTTTTGCTCTGAAGGTACTTGAAATGGTCCCGTTTAGAGACTGAGGAGGGGTCATTCTGCCATTCAATAAAGGCTTTTCTCTTTACTTCCAATGCTGAGCATATTTCTTCTTGGTTCTCATCAAACCAATCCTGATGTGTTCTTTTCTTTGGTCCAAGAGATGTTATTGCTGTGTCAGTCACTATCTGCTTGAACTGGTCCCACTTTTCGGTTACAGTACCGATCAGTTGTCCGTGGGATGTCAGTTTGTCATCAAGACTCTTCTGGAATTTGTTGAAACATTGAGCATCTTTCAGTTTGGCTATATTGAAAGCAGGTCGCACATGCTTAGGACGTTTGTGCCGAGAAGGAACGATGTAGAGTTGAAGAGACGTCCTGACTAATCTGTGATCTGTCCAGCACTCTGCGTCTCGCATTACTCTGGTAATCAGTACGTCTCGAATGTCTCGCCTTCTAACAATGGCATAATCTATCAGATGCCACTGTTTGGACCTAGGATGCATCCACGTCGTTTTGTATTTGTTCGCTTGTCGGAACAGAGTGTTGGTAATGGTCAGGTCATTTTCAGAACAAAGACTCAAAAGAAGTAGTCCATTACTGTTCATTTTGCCTACACCATGTGGCCCGATTACTCCTTTCCAGTTCTCGCTGTCAGCCCCGACTCGGGCATTGAAATCTCCAAGTAGGAGTGGTTTATCTGTTACAGGTGTGGCCTTGATCAGTCTGTCGAGATCTTCATAGAATTGTTCCTTTGAGTTGTCAGAGCACGTTAAAGTGGGTGCATATGCACTGATGATGGTGACATGACGTTTGGCATTTAGTGGGAAGCGTAGCTTCAGCAATCTTTCACTGATACCCACTGGAAAGTCTGGGAGTTGATGCATCAATAAGGTTTTTATTGCCAGACCAACTCCATGTATTCTATCCTCTGTCTCAGTCTGACCCTTCCAGAAGAAGGTGTAACCACCTCCTGGTTCACTTAAGAAACCTTCCCCAGGCAATCTTGTTTCACTTAATGCCGCTATATCGATGTTATAACGGACTAGTTCTCGAGCAATGAGGGCTGTCCTTCTCTCAGGTCTTGCAACAGCTTCTCGATCCATGAGGGTACGAACATTTCATACACCAATAGTAAAGAAAAATTTGAGAAAACTTACCATTGGATAAATCAGTAACTTAAGCTGAAAAGCAGATACACACTGGCGATAGCTTGATTTGACATGTGTAATGAAATCTGAAGAAGAACTATCGTAATAGCTCACAGTTGCAGTAACATGCTGAAGTGGCACTGATATCCCCATTGTGAAAGGATCAGAAAAGACATTCTCTCTCCCTTGTTACTAACTTCGCCAGGTTTCATTGGTTCCTGTCAAGCACAGCACAGGAAGACTCTGACAAACTCTTTTCATTTAACACTTCTTGACTGAATATATACATGTGAGAGCACAAAATCAAAATAGGAGCACATTTACATTTTTCCAAACACTAGTATTTCTTTCTGATCTCCTACCTAATAATGCATAAATATTGGACAGCTTTGTTTATATTTTCAAAGACCTATTCAATCATTAGCTCATTCATCCACATGAGAGAGCCATTTATGACCCCAATTTCATAGTTCCTAAGGGGTTAATTATGAGATTAGCCCCAGACATAGCAAGCCCATGTGAGAGCCAGGTTAGAACTCACGAGCAGTCCCTTGCTTCTCACTCCTTGCTCAAAGAACTTTCTCTTTAAATAAAAATGGACACCCCAGAAAGTCAGTATTTGCCACCCTAGGATAAAGCAGTATTTCCTTGTATTTAGAATAGGAAATAATCTCAGTTATTGTGGGGTGGTATTGTTGGTAAGTATTTTAATGGTGACCACTGTACTTCAGCTACCCACTTAGGCTACATCTACACTACACACCTCTAGCTCGTACTATAGGCATACCCTAGTTTTCATGAACACATGAAATGAGTTAATACTACAGATAAAATAAGGAACTTCCCTTAAACCTTAATCCATAACTCACGCAGCACCCTAGACAATTTTAAAAGGCTATGATGATCTTCAAAATGCTTGTCTGACTTTTCATCCTTGTGTGCCTATGCCAGCATTGGAAGTAAAGGTCCAGAAACAACACAAGAAAGGATGATTTCAAAGGGAGATGCACCTGTGTAAATGCGGGAGGAATCAGGCCCTTGGTGCAGAGGCGGATTAAGGTCTCTTGGGGACGTGGGCTGGAGCAAGTGGGGGGGGGGCCCAGTGCCAGAACCGTGGCCCCACCCCACTCCTTCCACCTTTGGTCCTGCCCTGTTCCACCCCTTCTACCTGCAGCCCTGCCCCATTCCACTCACAGCCCTGCCCCACTCCACCTCTTCCCCCCACGGCACCCTGTGGCCGCAGCAGGGAGCAAGAGCCCCTCCAGCCCCAGGGCTGCCACAATGGTAGATTTTTCCAGGAGCCTCAAATCTGCCCCTGCCTTGGTGTTTTAATGAAAGACACTGGAAGGCTGTCCTGGTAAGATTTCCACTCCAATGTGGCTAACTCAAGAGGCTCAGAAAATGTCACTAAGTATCCAAAACTTGGGGTACTTATGCAGACCCAAACTCCAGATCTCTCGCACTTCCCCAATTACTAAAGATGGACCAAATGTTGTGCTTAGTTACACCTCTGCAGGCCCATAGAACTGTACAGAGGCAACTAAGAACAGTATTTAGCGCATCATTAGTAATGGGGGAACCTCAAGAGGTTCAAATTCAAATAAATTCACTCCTCCCTAATCACACATACACAAAGGCTCTGATTCTGCACTTAGTTACAGCTGTATAGTCCCACTGACTTTAATGGGGTGGGTTGCACAGGTGTAACTAAATTCAGAATTACAGCCTGTGTGTGGGATTAGGGAGAAGTGAATGTTATTTAAATACAAATTCAACTGACCAGCACTTTTCCAAAAGTTAAAGTGACCCTGAATATTTTTAGAAGGTTTGGTTTGTAATTTTGATTATTTTCATGCATAGCTGCACTTCCTAATTTTGGCTGAAACCAGAAGCACCAAACCACTGTGTTTAAAAAAGAAATATATATATATATATCTGTTCTTTACACTACTTTCAACCTGGCCAAACCCAGGAAATACCGGAAGCCTTCCAGAAAGGCCCCATTTTGTGAGACTGCCAGACCAAAAAGATGTGGTGTTTTTAAAAAAGAATTACTCCAAGCTCTGCGATTTTTCAGTACAGCTCGTCTTCTCCGCATCTCTGTTTTAAACCCCAGTCCTGCAATACGCTGTGTGTTTCAATGAAGGAACGCATTGCAGGATCAGAGACTTAACTTACAAGACTTCCGGGACAGGGACTTTCTTTCTTTTATGTCCTATATAGCAATGAGCACACTGTCAGCTCTAGAATAAGATTAATAAAGAGACACAATCAGATTAAATACCATATATTTAAAAATGCATTGTTTTGCAAATAATGTCTTTAGCAGCCTAATCCTGATACCAGTTGAAATCAATAGCAAAACTCCCATTAACTTCAGTGGCAACAGGATTGGGATATTAACTGGGAAAAAAAATCTAATTTCCATTCCATGATTACACTGGTTGTTTGCCTTCTGCATTCTTCTCAGCTTGGGTAAGAGAACCAGACTAGTCACTTCCACTTTTATTTCTGTGCAGAGGAATATGTGTGATCCTGACTTGACCTTGTGCTGTAGTGTTTGGTTTGGAGATGCTGCAGAGGCCAGCTTGTTTGGGCTTTTCAAAATGTTCCCTTTGTGGGTTTTGCTTTGGAGTAGATCCATGGAACCATTTCTGGTTGCCTTAGGTTTCAAAATAGTTCATGCTTCCCAAACAACTTCTGGGACAAACTTGACCTAGCAGTGCCTTTTTAAATTACTTTATATGTATTCCTTACTGACCACACCAAGTGTGTTCCTTCACTTAGAAATAACAAGGCTCAGTGTCATTGTTCTGAAGCTTTTCCTGTGTGGTGGAATGCAATAAAAGACTGAAGATTCACAAAACTGTGTCCAAGATGGTGACTGATAACAACATGGCTGTCAAGTTGTGGGAAACTATCCCTGGTCAGTAAATGCTGCAGCATGGGACCAACACAGACTTCCATCTGTAAGTCATAGAAAGGCAGCATGTAGATTGTGATGAGGAAAATATTATATTTAGAAATGTCACTTTGAAGGTTAAAAATAATGTGCTAGATTATGTCTCCCATAGTGCAGGTGCACTTGATGGTGGATGGGTACAGGAAGCTTATCCTTTCTCCCCCTTACCTTATGTACTTGCTCAGGAGCCAGACAACCTGGCTTCTGTTGTGGAAGTTCAGCAAAGGCAGCTAGCACTGCTAGCAATGTTAGCAATAGACAGAGCAAGTGTTTCTGGAAAGGGGGAGGCTGCAGCCATAGTTCCATCCTCCCTGCACATTAGGATGGTTATATTTGAGAAAGCATTGGCTACACTGGCTTTACAGATGTAACATAGGGTACCGTCATTCATGCTGCTTTGATGAATTATTAGTTCTTGAAAATACATGTTTCCTCCTGTCAACAACACTTGGGCAGTTTATCCTCTATGGGGGGAGGGATAGCTCAGTGGTTTGAGCATTAGCCTGCTAAACCTAGGGTTATGAGCTCAATCCTTGAGGGGGTAATTTGGGGATTTAGTTGGGGATTGGTCCTGCTTTGAGCAGGGGGTTGGACTAGCTGACCTCCTGAGGTCCCTTCCAACCCTGATATTCTATGTATATTCAAGATGACTATCACCTTGGAATCTATGGTAGGCATCATACAAAATTAGGTATTGAGACCATCACAAGAACTTTTTTTCCCATGCCACTTTCCATCTCCTTCTCTACAATGTGCCTCAGGCTCAGCAAAAGCCCTAAACATACCCAGCAGAAAGCAATGTGACACTGATGTGTTGTAATAGGCAGAATTTAAAGAGCTATATCATTAATTGCAGTTGGCTATCCACTATGAATTTGGATTGCAAATATCCAGTCAAAAACCACAGTCATTCAAACATATGCACTGAGTCATTGAAGGGCTGGTATTTCCCTTCTTCAGAAGAAACATATTGATCTAGTGGCAAATTTAAACAACAAATAGGACCAAACTAAAAGCCCATATCTGAAAACTCACAACCTTTGGGAAATTTTGGATCCAATCCCAATTTTGCACCTTAGGCCTCTCTCTAGTCCAAAACTGTACAGAAGTTGAGACTTGTGGTTCTCCTCCAATCCTCATTACAACTAGTTTCCCAGGAGGGTCATCACATTCTCTTGGTGATGTCAGAATTCTTTCTGACATTACTTTTCAAGCCTCTCTTCATTTGTTCTCCCCTTGGAAACAGACACTGCCCAACATTCTGCTCACAAAATCACGCTATCACTCTTATTTCCATGACCCCCTCAGTGTGCCAGGGTGGCTGTTGTGTCTGCATCATGGTATTCATCATCATAATGCCAAATACAAAGACATTTACCAATGTTTGGACAGGACTTGGCTCAATGCCTAAGCAATTTCTTTTAAAAAGTCTCTGCAACGCAATAGAATGCAGCAATACTAGGCAATAGCCCCAGGTAATTCAGTGAGCACAGTTCTAAGGAAGTCAGTGCATGTTTCTAAAATTTCTGAAACTCTTTCAGGCCCAGACTTTGCTGAACGGGTAGGGTAGTTTTTAAAATATTGATGACGAGAAAGCCCTTCTTTAGGTTATAACAACATAATACTTCCATTATAAAGTGTCAGCGTGAAATAGCCTTAGCTAAAATCATACAACTGTGTCTGATGCTTCCTCTACAGATTTCACTTCTGCTGCCTATGGAGAAGCTGTTACTTCTGTCTCATCCCTGATGCTGCCACAGTACCACACAAGCTCTGCCATTGGGTCAGTGGGTACTGGGACTAGAAGTGAATTATTTTTTTAAGTTATTTGAGTCCTACCTAATAGCCAGGCTTAGGTGACTGTTCTGTGGGATCTTTGGTGTTCTATTGTTGCCGTGTATATAAGGAATTATTCTGTTTCCAGTGCTCTCCATTACAGCCATGTTAAATGTTTGTAACAAACCAAACTGAAGTTCACCTGGGTTGGGTTTTTAGGAAACAAAATCCCAG